GAAGCAGTCGAAAAGAGCATTAGGGGTTTAGGGCCGGGAATTAGTAGGTAAACTTATAACCAACCCCGCTTATCCTTATCATTAACATACTTACTCAATCCCCCGGGCCCTCCAAGTGGGGACAGGGGATCCCCAACATGGTCTCCAGGTTCACACCCCTAGTATCATCTGTTTCAGGAAGCTCCAAGCCCCAAAGAACAGGATTTAGAGCCTATAGGGCTTCCCGTAGTGCTCTGCTTGCTGACTTCAGGAGATCAGGGAAAAGATCGTCTCCGTCTTGCAGTGGGAGATCTGCAAGAACGACACTTGGCTGCAACGACCCAACTATGTTTGCAGTTCTTCAAATGTTGAATTCGGCCCTGGAATCCTCATAAACAATTGCACTCAACCAGGGCCTTCCCATTTCTTGAAGTCCCCATGTTGACAGCCTGGTAGACGAAAGTCGAAGATTTCACATGCAGTTTAGCTACCAGGCCAGGCAGATACGCTAGCATTGTGACCCTAAGACCTAAACCCTAGCATTTGACCTAGTAGTTGTATAAGTATCCCGGACCGCTTGGCTACGGCAGAATGTGCTTTTTGCAGGGGGTGCTCTCAAAGCAAAACTACAGAATCCTCAAGTTCATGGGGGCTTTACACTCCCAACATATTCCCAGGATGGTTGCAAGGGCCCTCGATCTCGAGACAGCCCCCCACAGTCTGCTGTATGGGATACCTGAGTCCCTGCGCATGCATCCCAGCCAGAGAACTGTGCAGACAAGTCGGTAGACTCAAGCTGACGCACAGCCCATCAGGATGCCGATGCAGCGAAGGACCGGACTGATGTGCATTCTAGAGTTTAGCGTCAAGTGATGTCAATCAAAGCTTGCAAGACTGAAAGTTATGGAAGTTACCTCTTCAGAATTCTTCCCCGCTGCCGTGAAGCAAGCTATCTCTGCCACAGCCGAAACTGCATGGTCGAAGCACCTGCGTGAGCAACACATGTGGTTGCGTCTTGCCAAGACTTCTTAAAGTCCTATCTTCAGCTTATCCTCCCGCTGACGCAGGAGTTCGACCGCACCATGGACTTTATCCAGGTACAACGCGTCAGGTTTGTAAACTTCTTATGAAGCTTCGGCAAGGTGCGCCAGAGTAGGTTCCAGGGCATTGTTGAGGAAACCGACTGATCTGTGCTCAACGCAGGCTCTGCAATCGATGGTAGATCACGTTGCGAGAATGCATTTCCATGTTGACACGTCTGCGACAGCGTTCAGGCCAGGTTAAGGTGCAAACTAAACCCCAAACTCCCTAAACCCCGAAGTCACCCCGATCTAACCCCTAAAATTACCCCAATGGGTACCCTACCCGAACCATAAACCATGTCCCGTGACGTGGTCAGGGTTCCCCTTTTCAGAGTGCCCTCGTGTTCCGAATGTGTCCCCAGCATCAGGATGGAGACCGGTTTGAGGTTTTCATGAGGGCGCCTACTTTGCATCGTTAAAGGTAGGGTACCCATTGGGGTAATTTTAGGGTTTCATAGGGGCTTTAATGAGGTTATATAGGGGGGATATAGGGCCCATTAGGGGTTTGGGGTAAACCCTAAGTTTCGATTTTCTTTTCCACGAGTACTAAGTCCCAACGATCTCCTTGAGTGGCTAAGATGGCCTTTCTCACACCAGAGGTTCAGGGTTTGGGGTTAGGGTTTGGGGTTTAGGGTTTAGGATTTAGGGTTTAGGATTAAGGGTTGTGGCTGTCTGTTGCTAGGATCCCCAAGGGGTTCATGTAAGGACGTATTACTGCAGGGCCAAGTATATGCCATGTAGTGACACGAACCCTTTGGGGTCATGATTTCGAGGAGATCGTCTTGAATGGCTAAGCTTTGTTGCAAATTTCCGCAAGACCGGCAAATACAGCATGCCAGGGTCTATATCGGGGCCCATTTGGTAGTTTTCCTAAATAGGGGGACCCTCATATAGACCCCATATACTGTAGTCCCAAAATAGTACCTTTAGCTTCAGGAAACCAGCATTTGAATCCCCAGAATGACCCAGGCACCCTTCCTCCAGTTCATAGCTGTAGTCTCCCTAGGATTTTTCCATTCTTGCTATAGTATAACAGCATAAACCTATGGAATTATTAAGAATATCGTGTTTAGTATAGGGCTATGGGGACCGACAGATAGTAGCAGGCTCTGATCGCTACAGCGCGGAGAATGGACTCAACGGGGCCGGTGTGCCAGGCCTTTGGGTCTGTAGTTGCATAATACCCTCCCCCAAGCAACCCTCCCCTGGCCCACTGGAAGTATATACATATTTTTCTCTACTCAGAATATATATATATATATCCATATACACACATATGAATATGTGTATATATATATATTCATACATATATGTGTTCTATTCCCAAAAGAGAATAAGGCGTGGAATGATTATTGTTGTGTGCGTGGGGGTGTTATTACCTTGGGGTCTCCGTGCCTTAGGTTAGAGCCCTTGGTCCAAGACCGAGTGCCAACAAGGCTGCGAGCACCTTGTAGATTAGGTCAATCCCCCCACAGTAATCTGGGTTGCTGTTAAGGAACTCAAATTAAGTTACCATACTGGGTATATATAGTAAATAATAGGGTTTCCCCAATATAGTAACTTAATTAAAGTTCCTAAACAGCAACCCAGTAATAGCTCCTACATATGGAATGAATTGGGCCCGAATATACTTTCAATAGTCCCTTGTGGTACCCATTGACCCAATTTGTAAATTTTCAAATGTTCTCACACATGGTTTAGGGTTGAGGGTTCCAATGCCTACTGAAGGCTTTGGACTCCCGCAAGTCTCAAAGGCTCCGCACGCTATAGCCGGAAGCATTCACAACAGGATATGAGTCTCAGTGACTCAGGGTGCAAGGACTTGCAGTGTTGGGGCTCTCCTGTCCAGAAGCCTAGGCTATAAAGGCCTCAGGCAACTTGTTCTGCATGTCGGGAGGGTGCCTGGCAGAACTAGTATAGAATATCTAGCATCCCAGATGCAGCGCTTCTTCTGGAATTGGAGCGCAGAATCGCTAGGGGCGTCGTAGCGGTGAGAAGCGTTTGCTTTTGAGACCATGCGTGCGGGATCCAGCACATGTTTCGAAGTGAGTCAAAGGACTTCACAGCCAGCGCGCAAGGCTTCAGTGCATCAAGTAATGCTTCAGATTCGAGAAAAGTCGTACGAGTGATTCCAAAGAGTGGCTCGGCAAGAAAAACAAATATAACTGCTCTCCGTGAGACAGGGACGGTGGATATTTCGAGGTGTCCAACGATGGCTATAAGGAACATGCTGCTGCTGCTGCCGCTGCTGCTGCTGCTGCGGCTGCTGCTGTGCAAATGCTACCAGTCGCAGTAGCAGAAGAAGAATGCGCAAGAAAAGAAAGTACCACTATTGCTCACAGCTACTAGCACTAACAGTTAAGAATTGGATGTACTAATCCTTTCCCCCCAAATATGAAAGAGCTCCCCCCCTTATGTGTATACTCCGAACCATATCTAATATTGGGGGAGGGTATTCATCAAACAATGGGTAGAGTCTATTGGAATCTAATTAGCATCTCGGCTAAAGTTTAAAAAGCCTATGACATCGAATCTGAATTACCATGGAATCCTAATAACACCCATTACAAGCAAAGTAAAAGCCATTGAAATCTAATGAAACTCTAAAACAGGACCAATTCAAGATCGTTCAAAAACAATTCAAGAGCGTGATCACACACATTAAGCTAAAAACCTATTTAGAAGCTAGTTAGCATTTAGTTAACATCTACTTGTCGATTAAAATCACAAAAACTAATTGTGGGTTACAAGCACTTGAAGTGTAAGCAAAAACTAAATACAAACTAATTAAAGCTGATGTAAAAATCGCAAGAAAGCTAATTAAAGATGGATTCAAATTCTATATAAATGCCGCAAATGCCTTGATAAAAGCCCACTCACAAAGAATCAACACACGTAGACCCCCCCCCCCTAATTCAGAGGATCTGAGCCGTAATTCACTTCAGTCTTGGCCTGTGAAAAAGATAGTTTTGGGGGCAGATTTCAGCATTTGGAAGGCTGGGGCCCCTGTTTTATATACAAGGGGAGGAGTTAATATTAGGGGGAAACGATTACCACAGCATTATGACTGCAATTCCATGTGCAAAAAGCAGGAAGGAGTCCACGCACTATTGAAGCGCTCCCCCGTCGGCGTGCAGAGCTGAGTAACACAGAAGCCTCACTGGCGAGGACTATGGCTCCCCCCTTCTTTGTTTGTAGTCTGCCCTCTTCAGGTACAGTTTGTGCAATTCAGGAAAGAGTTGGAAAGACTTTTCTCGGAGCTTAGCAGCAGCTATGCAGGATTGAGAGCCTTGTATTTGGGGTTTGGGCTCTCAAAGTTCATGGGTCTGCCCGATGCTTGTTTCCCTGCACTGAGTCCAGCATCCTTGCAAGCAATGCAAGACTCCCCGAACTATCGTGGAACCTTGAGGAGCTGCATTGGATTGTTTGTTAATAACCCTAAGGCTCCATGTAGGTACTATTTATAGGGTTTGGACCCAATGTAGGTATTATTTACAGACTTAGAGCCCCCGGTAAAGAGAGCCATCTTGCTCGGACCTCTCCGCCGAAGTATCCGTCTCTTAGATTTTCAGCTACCGATCTCCGTATGCCCAGATATAGCACCCCCTCACATACACCCATAAACTGTAATCCCTGGGGAAGGACACAAGAAAGAGTTGGAAACTTGAGAACCTTCCATTGATGCCCGAAAAGGTCATGATGAACATGGGCCCGTCAAACTATCCCTTCAACGAGACCTATGCCACGCTCATCCCTGCCCGAGTCTCGTGCGTGCTTTTGGGGGTATGCTGGACGTTAGGTTTCAGGATTCATGAGGGCTTAGCATTGGTTCAGTGGGCAGTTACATGGATAATCCGGGTATATACATGGTAGTTTTCATAAATAGGGGGACCCCAATATGGACCCCAAAATATTTTAATCCTTATTATGGGGACCCCCGAACTGGTACCCCTAATCTTCGACAACCCCCACGTTGTTTTGGCTCTCTGAAACAGGGGGGTCCCTTCTGGGCAGTCCCTGGATTAAGGATTATAACATGTTGGGGGCTACATTTGGGCCCCTTTTTTTTGGTTTCGTGGTAGTTCTCAGAACTGCTGGCCTCTTTGGGTTTAGGGTTTCGGGCTTAGGGTATGGCATGAGGGTATTGCATTTACTGACCCTCAGCTACCTGGGTGGTCGTTGCGGAGGCAAATCCTCTCTAGATGCCATGAACTGCAGTTTATCATGCCAACCTCACCACGAGATCCACAAGAAATCAGTAGCTGGTTTCAGCCCTGAAGCCTAAACCCCATAGACCCCTAAGCACTAAACCCTAAACCCCTAAACCACGGCCTTAAGTTGCAAGGCCCTCCTTATCGGGGACTCAGTGGTCATGAAGGTGCCCAACACTGGGGGCCTGGCTCATTTCCTCACGATGGAGGCCGATGCATTCTTCAGCCCTGTGAAGCTTTAGGGTTTCTGGTTTAGGATTTAGGGTTTATATATGGTTCCTGGCTTAGGATTTACAGTTTAATTATGGTTTCTAGTTTAGGGTTTCTGGTTTAGGGCCTTGGGGATCCCGAGATTTCCGTATTCAGCCATGGCGTAATGATTCTTGGTATGATGTATGGCAGACATCGGGCACCTGCACAGAAGCCAACAACGCGGGGTATAGAGTCGCCCTAATAGAGCAACAAATAATGGTTTAGGGTTTAGGGGTTTAGGGTTTAGGGTCTGTGCTGCGCGATTTTGTCACTCATCGAAGATATATGAAGATGGACTCTGGCCTCGTGCCGAAAGTTTTTTGGAAAACGATATCGCGCCCACGAAACCAAACACCGTCAACAAATACCCCGAAACTTTGAACAGGATAGCCCACCCACCAATCTTGTCAATGCCCGGACACTAATACGAATGGACTCCGTGCATTATGTTCTATATATATATATATATAGACAGAACCCCTGGCTGTGTGGTCATCCAGTCCTTGTCCCAACACTCCCTTTCCAGCCCTAGCCACCCAAGGCAGCTGGACGCCCGAGCTTGCACGCGAAGCGCGCGTGTGCGTCACATATGTATATATCAAACTCTTGCACCCTAAGCCCGAAATCTTAAACCCTATTGAACAACACTGGGTCTGGTTGGGAATTTGAAGCAGCAGGCAGTGTAACCCCAAACCCTAAACCCTAAACCTAAACCCTACCTGCATCCCAAGAGCTTCAGCCTCGCCTGTCCTCAGGCCTATGCCGAGTGCTTCCCCGCCGGAGTGGTGAACTTTGTTTCAGGTCGGGGCCGAGATACTATGCCGCCAGAACCCTGGTATAATATAGTATAATATAGGATCATGATAGCATAATACAGTATAGTCTAGTACGATATAGTATGCTATAGTATAATATATAGTATAAGATAATGCAGCATATTATAGAATATTATAGGGGTATGTAAAATGGGGCGCAGATTGTACTTGCATGGGAGGGCTTCAGGATCATGGTACACCTCACAGGCTGCCCTGGCCCCCAGAAACAGGACCCACTTCAAAGCTGATGGGCCCAGACAGAACTCTATGATATAGTAGACTATAGTTTATTACAATACGGTATAGTATATTCTATTCTACTATAATTGGACTATACTGTATTACAATACAGTATAGTATATTGTATTCTACTATAATTGGATTATACTTTATTTTAATACAGTATAGTATATTATAGCATAATAAAGTATACTACAATCCCCGAGGTCGAAGGCCACAAAGCAAAATCAAGCTACCAGGCCAATTAGCAACTCAAGGGATGCGAAAAGAGATCCCCAAGAAGGAGTCCCTACAGCCTGTGCTTTGGTTTGGCAACCAGGTTTAATATTAGGGTTACATAGGGATTATATAGGGGTTATATAGGGTTATATTGGGTTATATATAAACTTCAGCCGTCCCTTTGTGCTACCTTTGGTTATCTAGGAATGAAGGAATGGATCGTCATAGCAGCTCCTATATAACCCATTATAGTAGTTTCCGTTTGCATTCTGTCGGAGGATTGCATGAGTTCATATTCATGGGAAGGATTTCAAAAAGATGCTTGCAAGATTCTGCGACATCCCTTAGGGCTTAGGGCTTAGGGCTTAGGGATGATCATCCGGAGAACAGCTTCTTGTACATCATATGATTTTGTATCTCCTCCATGTACGTAGGTTCCACTTACCCTGGACCTAAAATGAGCCATAGTCTAAACTCCTTAAAGGGGGTTATATAGGAGATTATATAGGGGACTACTATAGGGGGTTTTAAGGCGGATACTAGGAGCTTAGACTATAGCTCAAATGCAGCTAGTTTCGAGGTCAGTAGCCTGGCCTTGGCCTTTCGTACTACTTGCTATTGTCAACCTTACTTTGAAGCCTTAAACCTTGGGTACTGCCCCCACTCAGTATAATAACGCATAGAATATGATTATATACAGCTCTTAATATGACCTCTATCATAGACTGTTACTGGGTGGAACCCAACTTAAACCCTCAAAACCATAAACCTAGAGGTGGACTCAGATTCTGCAAGTGGCATGTGAGCATCGTCAAAACTACTCTGCCTTTACCTGCTCATGTGCAATGGGCTCCTGTCAGATCGAAACCCCACATCATGGGTTTAGGGTTTAGGGTTTAGCTTTATAGGGTTCCCAACGCCCCTGGAATACTCCCGCTTACGTTCTGCTTCAGCTAAGCTTATGTAGGGCTGAGTCCGGCTCATTAAGGGGGAACCTGAGGGGGATAGCTTTGAACTGGTTAGGGTAAGCCTTACGCACTGAAACCCTACACCCCAAACCTTAACTCGGAGTCCCTAAGTCTTCGAGCTCTAAGTCATACACCCTACCAGCCTAAACACTGATCGCGTCGCACATTTCAAATCACCACCTCTTGTCACCCGCAACTGGTGTATCAACATAGCATTAGGTTAGGGGAGGCTACTTTAGGGTTTTAGGGTTTGTAGGGTTTAAGGTTTTTAGTAGGGTTGGCAGTAGCAAGGGGAGAGCAGATTGAAGCAAGGCCATGCATGGAGTCTGGGCTTGTTGACATCTTTGCCTTCATTGGCTCCTCGAAAGCTGCAGATGCGCTGGTCAAGGCACGGCCTTGGATCCTGAAGTGCAATAGAGAGATGAATATATATATATATATATGTTTAGGGGTTGGGGGCTTTGGGTAATAGAGTATGGGAATATATATATATATGTATATATATATATACACATGTGTTGGGATCTGCATTGGAGTCCCACTGTTTATGGAAACTACCATATGGGTCTGGTAACCCATGCATACTGCCTGCGTAGCCTCAATATGCAGCAACTGAAGCACACGTTGATAGTTGTGCTTACAGGATTGTTGTGTTGTTGCAAGCCTTTTTACGGCAGGATGTCTGAATTGCCAAAAGTTGGATGATTTTCAAGCTGTTATCCTGGATTTCAGAACCCATACAGTATCCGTCCTTATAACCGCATATTTCCCTATGGTGGCTAGGGTACCCCTCTTTTAAAAGAAGCCTCAAATTAGTCAACATTTTGAGTCAACGTCTTCGCTTGTTTGGGGACACAGAGGTCACCTAATTGCTGGATGGCTTCTAGCTAAGGTTTTATATGCTTGGAGATGTTATCAGGCGTATGTGTTAACTTGTCGATGGGGTTCGTTTTTCAGAAGCATGACTCAATGACAACCATCTCATTTTCTCGGGAGGTCCTTACGGGTTCCGAGCGCCACATAGACATCTTGATATAGGGAGTTGTCTTCTTGCCGTGCCCGATCTGAAGAAGGCCTGTCAGCACAGAGTTCATGGTCTTGCCCTGTTTTTGCCAGATTTTGGACGATCTGGTTCTGCAAAAAAGCATGGCATAGTCTTCATGCCCTCCCCCTCCCTCCCGGCCTCCCTCCCGGCCTCTCCAAGAAGGCGCACAGCACTGTCTTGAGGGCCGCTTTACTTGATAGTTTTCCAAAATAGGAGGACCCCAATATGGACCCTAATATATTATAGTCCTGATTATTGGGACCCCCAAATATGGTACCCCTATTTTTTGGGAAGCCCCCACTTCGATGCTTTGAGAGGCACACCCGCAGCCGCATCGTCTGCTGCTCAGCTGTCGGGGGCAGGTGTGATGACTCAGTGCGATTTGTGTATATGTACACATATTTGTACCTGTAGACACATATATAATCATATATATATCTATATGATCCCCCCCCCAAGATCTACGCCTAACCTGTTTTAGCTTCATGAATGCTTTATATGCCGTCTTCGTGCACACATTGTATCAGCCGAAAACATCGTAAACAGCGATGAATTCTACACTTTTGAATGAAATTAATCATATGCTCACGATAAATCTATCAGTCTGCCATATACAGATTTTGGAAACCAGAATCCGGTCACCAATTTCACATAGAAGAAAATCTTTCTAAAAATGAGAA